AGTAATATGGAGCGCACCGCAGCATTGTAAACCCGACCCTTGACAGAGAAACTGATGTCACGCCTACGCCACAGGTGACGTAGGTTTGGATAAGCTGCTCTGGCCTTCCAAATATGGATGGAAATATGAGCTTTCGCGAGACCACCGGGACTGATACAGCTGCCCAGGTAAACAAATTTGTCTACTACCTCAATCGGTTCATCCGCAAGCATGGGGCTAGGGTTCGAGCGCACCCAGTCTTGCAGTATATATTACTTTTGTTGGCAGTGTTTCTACCAGATCGAACCTGCTTCACTTTTTTCTCTTTCACTGAAGGGCGGCCAGGTTGTACAACGATCGGTGCTATTATGTGGCTGCCCTATATAGAAAACAGAATTCGACGGCTTGTCGTCGGCTGTCGATGTTTTCGCGGAATCGTGTGCGTGTTTTGGACGATATGTAATTTGGATGCTTTTGCAAGGCTTGCAGTGGTGACTTGATCGAGTTCAATACAATTACGTACTTGCTCAGTTATGTGTTAAACACGTCTGAACATCCCAACTCCGTTTACCCCAGTTGGATTGGATTTGAAGAAAGCACCCGTTGGACAAGCCATGATGTGAGAAGCAAGCATCAAGGGCCTAACTAGTGATATTTCCCTTTGACTATTTTGATTGTCTTGTCAGCGCGTGGTTCATTTAACGCCGAATTCGTGAAGTTCACTCACTATTGTGAATTTTATGCTATTATTTTGTTCCAGATTGTTTCGTGCCCCATTCCAGAGGACGGTTTTCGAATCCATTTGAATCAATGAGTGCTACTTTAGATACCACCGAGTCTGGAACGAGGCATGGGAATGATGATGTGTGGCAATTAAGGGACAGATCTGGCGCCTCTGTTCCTGGGACAGTTTCGCGTGACACAAATTTTCGGTGTGCACGATCCGAGGGTTTGGATGAATGCAATCCAGCAAGTCGAAATTGCGAGCCATCCAGGTTTGTTTACCCAGATAACCTGGATGATCAGTCTCCATGTGCACCTGGCTTACCACATTCACTACCCCAAGCCCCTGCGAGTTCAGAAAATGCGCTGGAGAATCTCGTAGCCAGAGGTCGCCGGTCGACAGTTGGATCGCATTCTTTCAGTACTCTGCGTTGTGATGTCTTGCTACTGGATGGCCAGCATTTGGTCTTTCATATTGATGTAAGCTTCTCAAACCTTCCATAGATAACTTCTTTTTTTGCTACACTCAAATTTCCCGTGATCAACATTTTTGCACATTCAACTCATTTAGATTCACTTAACCTGGTAAAATGTTAACGTAGTCGTTTACCACGTTAGTCCAATTCCGATGAATTTTCTTTCGAGTAGGGAACGAATCCAAACAAACCAGCCCATCAAATCTAATGCGGTCCAGCCAGTGCAGCAACGTTACTGTCCTTTCATATCTGGCAGTTAACCGATAAATCTGTCTGTCACAATTGAATGTGGAGCTAGGTAGTAAACCGGCCATTTCAAGAACCAGAAAGTGTTTCTTCTTAGACTATGCGGATTTTTTATCGTTGGTAAGGAGTGTACTGCAGTTAAGTTATTCTTGTTGCATCAGGCTTAGTCTAGGCTGTCGAGGACTTTTTGAACAACCTACTAAATTCGTGTTCCACACACCAATCGTCGCTCGAGTTGTATCCTCTCGTGCGTTTGTCACAAATCTTCTTTTGTCCATGTGTATTTCGTGGCTTGTAACCGAGTAGACATCAGAGGAGAGATCGGCTAGCAACCGGAGACAGTTCGGTTAGTTCAGTGGTGGCATCACAATGACCACTGTGTCTTTGGAGCGTAGTTTCATTTCCATTGACCCCGCGCTTTGTAGTGAAGCGGACTACTATCAGCAATATTTTCTGTTTGTTTCAGAACCACTAGGGGGCGAGATGGCTCAAGTGGTTAGAGCATGAATGACCGTAAGGTCCGTTATTCGAACCCTACCCTGCCTCTCGAATTTCTCCGTCTAGGCTTGGGCAACCTGGGAGTATCCCAGCCCTCGTGCATCCTTCGGGTGGCATGGCAGCTATGCACCGTTTATTATTATTATTATTTATTATTATTATTTTCAGGACCACTAGTTGATCAAGATTCTGTCTTTCTAATGTGCTTGGTGGATGTTTCACATTGAATTCCCCAACAAAACAGTGAGTGAATGCCTTACCACGTTCACGTTTTTTATGGTCAGAGTGTTGATCCACCTGAGCAGGAGGTTTTAGTGTTTCGGTTACGTTCCGCATCTGGGTGTCATAAGTGTAATAAACTACTGTTCCTATACTGCTGGTCAACATATCGCTCATTATAGATCACAACTATGAGGATACTTGCATTCCTATACTGAACCTACTCCCAGCGACATCGCCAACAGAATGCATAACTATGGGATTCCTCGGGCTCAGCTTGAGTGAACATAGTTGCAACATGCGATGATGGCGAAGACTGTATGTGAGCCTTGGTTGATGCCTCGGAACTGAGACGGTAGCGACCGACGAGCGCAAATAAGCCAAACAAATGCAAATCCCTTTACGATGTGAAGACTTCCACAACCTAACAGTAGCATGAGCTCCGAGACACTAGCTGGTGAATATGATGCGCGCATCTCAACGGTTCAAATCACGTACGCTCATTTGCATCACACGTAACTACAGAGACCCCATTGGGTCTCAAGGGTGCATATACCAAGCTACAGTATCTCCTTTGTTGTTGTGTGTTTGTGGAGCAGGATTTACGCGTTCGGGGTATTTAAGGCGTTCTCAGGTCCGGCTGTCAGTGAATTCCTGAAGAGTTCATTAGAAAACTAACGTTTGGTTGCGCATCAGGTGCCCCACTTGTGGTGATTTGGCGATGTGATTTTCTTGCCGAATTGCCGTTTGTTGGAGTGGTTCACTTCCCATATGCCTCTCCATAATGGTGCCAGCTGTAACGTTCCCATATGCCTCTCCATAATGGTGCCAACTGTAGCGTGGGTGGGTGCTACTAATTCAACGTTCGAGGATTGGGTCCCTGTAGCTTTCGCTGAACGTGGCCATAGGCGTCGCAGTGCAATGGCTAACCTTTGATGATGGTGCCGTCAGTTTCTTCCGAAATCAATGGAATGTGTCGGTAGGTAGAATCTCAGAATGGTTGTTAGGGTCCAGTATTAGGCCCGTCGCCTGTCTGTTCTTTTGCCTTCCGAAACGGACTTTATGGCTGCATGGGATTGAAGTCTTAGCTCCAACTCAAGTGTTGCTGTTGGTTATAGTAACGATGGGAACGAGATGGCCCAATTGGTTAGAGCGCGGATTTACTGACCGGAACTTTCGTGGTTCGAATCCGACCTCTGCCTCCCGACTTCCCCTGTCTAGGCTTGGGCAACCTGGCAGTATCCCAGCCTCGTGCAACCTTTGCCTTTGGGTGGCATGGCAGTTAGGTTCCGAGAGAGTGCTAAAGCTGAACGATGGCAATGATAAATTTGATTTAGTTGTAATGGTGGTAATACGTAACTTGGTTTCGTGAGTACAACTTTCTGTCCCTCTTCTTGGCCAGTTAGCTGCATACAAATTGACTTTGTACCGACTGGAATGGTAGCAGGAATGTCATAGACAGCGTGCTGTCANGTCATTTCATTTCATCTCCGTAGTCTAAAATGACCCTCTATCTACACGCACTCGCGTCCAATATGGTTGATGATATTTATTTGAGAAGCTAAGATTTCACAGTCTAGTAGGGTAGGTTGATGAGAATGAAAGCCAAGTTGGCTACCCACTTGGTCGTCAGCGTCCTTCAGTTCGATTCAATCAATTTACCAGCTATAAACCGTGTGCTATAGGCACACGCCATAGCGTTAGGCATAGCCATAGGCAGCACAGTTCTGCACTCATCGACCTTCCCTCTCATTCTCTCCCAACCAATCGTACAATACATACTTCAGTTAGTCTAGTTTAGGTCAGAAATGTCCCTAGCACCGCCTTGAAAGTTCCCGGCAACTTGTAGTTGTGTATCAAATTGAGCAGCTAAAAGCCCACGATTTAACATCCTCGTTGTTGCACATTCAGCCATCAGAAGACCCTGTGGATAGGTTTCCCTTGAAGCAGGCTTTGTATCCTTTCGTGATAATTTTGTGGAGTGGCATTCGCGTATAAAGAGGTTTAAAGTGTTTTGGAACTGAGCACAACCGAACCAGGTCTCAGCTGTAAAACCTGAGTTGTTTAAAACTCCATGTATCCTTTCGTGATAATTTTGTGGAGTGTGGCGTTCGCGTATAAAGAGGTTTAAAATGTTTTGGAACTGAGCACAACCAAAGCAGGTCTCAGCTGTAAAACCTGAGTGGTTTAAAACTCCCTTATCCAAATGACCTCTTCGGAACAACTTTCAACTCAGGGAGCTCGTCCGTTCCGTGATCTTACTCATCTCCTCTGGAGTTTTGGCGTTGGCAAACTTTCTTTGAAGTACTAGACGAGATCGCGCTAAGAAGGGTCGAAATTGCTGTTGTTAGTTGTTGATGGGCTGGATGACAGTTGGACACACAAGACGCTTGTGCACAAAAGAGCGGTCTCAGTTGCTCGTCTCGGTCACCGTGCACGAATCTCGAAGATGCGAATCTCATTTACCAATTGGCGTCAGATGTGGCATCAAAAAGGCGTATCGCCAGGTCTCGAGATTCGTGTGCGCTAGGCTAGCATAAGGGCCGTATTGCTGCATAGTAGTTATCAGACTTGGCTTCTACGGGCAAATGATCTTAGGCATCTTCATTTATTCCCCCCACCGGTTTCTCGGAAGTGTTGCTATTATCGAATAGCCTCGACTGATTCTTAACGAGGTGACTAGAAGACGCGTTTGGCTGTGCAGAAGGTACATCAGTTACGGGCAACATCCAGTGCCATCAACTGCGGTGGCTCGGCCGTGTGTTGTGCATGCTAACTCGTCGTTTCCTCTGACGAGTGTTGTTGTCCGTGCCACCTTCAGAGTGACATAAGTTGAGAGGTGGACGAATTGTGACTTGGTAGAAAATGTGGGGATAGTGAGGTTTTTTGTTATGGCACGCCTTGAGGAATGTTTTAATGTGAGTACCCTGTGCATGATCGGATATATTGTAAAAAGCGGCACTAAGAAGCAGTCGTGCGACCAGTTACCTCACGTGTTCGAGTGAATGCTTGTAGATGCAAGCACCTCAATGTTTGCGGTAGGCTGGTGCTAGCCGCCTCCCTATTCCTTCTTTTCCTTTTCGCTTTGTGGTTTTAATTATAATTAAGTAAGCTTTGTGGCTATCTCGGTTGATGGTGACAGTGATGGTGGTTAACAAAATTAACTACCTGTCCTTCATCGCTTGACATACTTTTGCAGTTACCTCGTAGAAGGTCGACAATGTAACCTAAATAGTGAACCGCGAAAGACGCGTTATGAGGTACCCTTATGGATGACAACAAGGAGCGTCCTGACGAACTAACGCCACTGAGGTCAGCACAAACAATCATGGGGTAGTGAACACACTACTGAAGGAGTCGCAATGCTGACTGTTCACCAGCCGCATTTTAGATGTAACCAGACAACCTGGAAGCGTAATGCTTCCTTGTCCCTAAAGGTTCTTGCAAACATTTGGGGTTAACACCGCTGAAGCTTCGTATACCACCTCCCCCAGATGGTGTTGCTCTCTGTTCTACGATGCACAATTGAGAGATGGTCACAGATACCGGCTCACAGTTCAACAGAGGCGTTGCTTAGCGGTATTTTCATTCTGGACGCAAGTCGTAGTGATATTGGTCTTATTGGTATTGGTCTTATGCAACTTTGCTCCCCCCACCAAGTGTCTCGGCAGCACCGAGTTTGGGCGCGGTGAGCTCCTTTGTGCTATCCTGGAAGTCTAATATATACTAAATACGGGTGTCCAGATAGCTCGCCGAATATTCTGAATAACACTGTTTGGCCATCTGCCCCAGTACCTGTGCCGTTCCTTGGGCCTGTCCGTTTTGAGCCGTGACCTATGAATCTAGCGCCCCATCAGGTACTAATTGGTCTTCTGCCATCGGGTTGATGAGCCAGATGAGCGTTCTCTGGCGTTTCCCAAGCTTTCCAAAAGCTTCCTCACAACTGATGGAGTTCCCGAGGGTTGTTGCATGTATCCTTTTTGTCGAATTCTGTATTCGACGAGATCATGAAGTACACTCCGCAGTGGACCATGAATCTAGATGTCGAAATGAAGTATGAAGAGTGATTAATCTATCTGGAGTATGCGTACTACATTATTGTGCTGTTTGATGATTATTTATCCGCGTAAATTACTAAACAAGATATCGAGGTTTGACTTGTATTTCGGCATGCGTTCTGTGTCTTCAAATTACAAGATGTTGCTTCATAATTTCCCACCCTTTGGTGCCTACTTGAAGAACTTGAGTTTGTTGGTCGGTTCACATCTTTCGGCGATGGCATGAATCGTGATTGTACTATAGCGGATGAAATCAGTGATTGGATACTCAAGGTGTGACCAGCGTCCACGACCCTGCTTCATATATGGCCTCAGAACTAAATTTCACTGGAACTAAAGGGTTGGGTACACAAGGCCACTTTATGGTTGCGAAACTGCCTCTCCGATCCGAGAGCCTTAGGCCTCCGTAGTAAGATTTAGGTGGCTGCAACGGGTATGCACGAAGTATGCGTAACGAGTAATCGCAACAAATCAGAGTCGTTAAAACGGCAGCCTAAACTTATTAGAGGTTGGGCATGTGGTACGCATACCCTGAAAAGCGTTGTCTAATGCTTCAAACCATTGTTGGTTAGTGACTAGCGGGGACATGCCACCATTTGGTGACGTGAAATGAATGTGGCTACAATCAAATTGAAACAAGAAGAATATTAATGCACATTCTCCTCAACTAACACGCGTCACTGTCTTCCTACTGTATCGCTTGTGTACCACTTGGGAGAGCACCTAGTGACGTCTACCGTGCTGGATTGTTAATGTGTTTCGCCCAGCACTGCATGTTAATTGCTCAATGACAATGTTACGAGACTCACCATTTGAGGACCCGCAGCTTCTCGTGTGAAATAACGCAAACCTTTTTCTCTCCTATCTTCTCGTTGTCAGAAAAATTCTTTGGGCATCCATTTGTTCAATCTTGTCACGACGCATATGATGCTTGGACAAACTGAGTACTTTGGGCTCGTCTACTATCGCGTTGACGATAAGCTATCTGAGAATTTCTATGCGCCAGATCCTTCCATATCACGTGATTCTTTGACACACTACATAAAAAGCGGTGTTTCAACTATAGCGTCGGGAAAATCCATCATAGAGCTCTCGCGCTATCTCACTGTTCGGACGTTTAATGATGTGTCAAAGCAGTCGTCTTTCATCGGGGATGTTCCGGTGAGTTAATCACTTCATGTTTTCAACTCCTTCGGTTGGCATATAAGGTTTCGCCTTTACTGTTAACTGTTGACACAGCACTTTCTCTCTGACGAATCTTGTATTAGAGTGGTGGTCGTATTTTTGGGGAACAAATATTGCCCCCCCCCCCAAATTGTGATTGTCCAAACACACGTATTACATGTTTGAGCGCGTTTCTTGTTTGGTTGCTACATTTTACCCCCCCCCCCCCAGATGGTCGGTGTTTAGTTTGACAACCGGAAACTAGTCCTTCTACAGGCAATCTGAGCCTCACTTTCAACGTCGGTTACTCCCTTCGATCGGGCCATATTCACCGCCGAGAGAAAAACTCAGTTGCAAGCTGTTCATTAGTACGTGTTCATCTGTAGGGAAGACGCTCAAGGGATTCGCTCGCTAACGACCAAAAATAACATCTCTCGTCAGTTCCGTTTACGGTGCATGGTTCGAATCAGTGTAGTTCTGAAGGGTTTAATCCCCCGTCCCTTGTTTCTAAACATATATAGCTGATGCTTTATGAATTCGTTACAGAAATCACTTTTACAAGAGTAAGCTCTTCAAAGGGGGACCATAGTGGCAATTCTCGTTGACTACTACTCATCTTTACCCCGAATAATCCAGTTTGGACATCTACTGGATTGTGAAGGAACATATTTTGAGTTGTATTTTACTGCCTTTAGTTTAATTTTCTTTTGGTTTCAATGTTCCCTGATCGAGTCAGCTTACACATTGGTTCTGACAGAACTTGCCTTATTGGTATCAGGCGGTCTAATTACCAGTGTGATTAGCCTCTACTATTGTGAACCTGTTGGATAACCGGGTTTGATAGGTGATCTTTGCGAGTATCGCGGTGGTCGGTTCCGTGGGATTATTCCGTTTACCTGAGCTCTCTTCCACAGTCACTGGGTTGACCTTTGTTTTTTGCGCATAACGAGCTTCTCTGAATAACTGTTCTGGAGCGACCTTTCATGGTTAGGGCAATATATAAGGCTTTCAAGTTTGTTTGCAACGTCCAGAGTGGTTGAAGTCGAGCCACATACAGGTAGTTCTGTAGAACATTCACACTTGCCTTGGTTAGCTTCATCGGTGAATTTGTGTCATCGATAGTATCTGCGGGTCGGAGCTTCAGTCTTGGAATTGGGCAAACCATCAGTATCTAAGCCCCCATACTTTTTTGACGTGCAGCATTGTATCGGCACTGATTTGAGCGCACACCCTGATTCTGGTGTAATTTGTTGTAACTTCCTAACAAAGGGCTCCTACCGTTCTTATGCTGCGGTATGTATGTAGTGTTTCGATCTGCTCCGTTGTTTGGTTGAACTGCACTTGATACCGGAGTTTCCCTGTTTCTGTTACCTGTGGTGAAGGTCTACTAAGTATTCTACGAAAGTGCGCTGGTATATGTTTCGGAGAGTATAAGTAGCGATAGTGACTGTCCAATCATAATCAGCAGCTCTACCAGTAGTGTGTTCTGTAGAAAAAATATGCTACTGTATCTCGAATACCGTAACAACCAAAACATGAGCGGCCTTTGTGCAGCGCATCCATTTGGAGAATATCCCAAATGAGAGATTCATTCGGATCCCTCATTAACATCATTGTGGTTTGCATGTAAGTATGTCTGCATTCTAACGGATAGATTCAATGCATTTCATCTTCCCGTTTATACACCCGTCTGCTCTTCTTGTTCATTGGCTGTTTGCCCATTTTGTTCCAGTTTTGGTTGAAGATGAATCGTCGAATTGTGGACCAATACAAGAGTGAGTTTCCTTAGTCAAAGGCACATACCTGGATTGTCGATCGTTTTTGAACTCGGGTAGTGAATCGCCGACAAAACAAAGCCGATTACCCTGAGGTGATTGTTTAACCGAATGTGTGAACTAACCTAAAATTGGCCTCCCACTACCTCTTTTTTATGGAATGGGTTCAACGAAGGAACACCAGTGTTTCCGAAAAGTTCTTGGTTTGCCGTAATGAGGCAATCTTCAACAGCCGCTGCGTCGTTCTAAGTCTCACTCCTTGTCGCCTATTACTGCTTGCCTGACATCCTGACTGACGAGGGACGTTTTTTTGTGAACCTTCGAGAAGGATAGTCCTCCTTTGTATGCGGAGCGTTCTTGTGAACGCTCAGTGATCACATACTGCTTTGCTGCTTGGGTTAAACCGAATAGGAGACTGCAGACTTTAGCTGGAGCTCATAGACGAGTATTTAAAAGCAAAGACATGTGTTCTGGGCCCATGTGACCCTACATCTACACTGCGGTTCGTACTTGGTGACGTAAACAGATGTTTGTATATGTATATATATATATAATATTTGAATAGTATACACGGTAAAAATATACGAATTCAGATACGACATTACGTATGATGTATTCTCACAAGATCCGACAGACTCATCCCGCAGAAATTAGCGTATTGTAAGCCTTGTCGGTCTGTTTGGAATTTCTAGTTTACCTTTTAGCATCCTAGTAACTATCACATTCCCACTTGTTACTTCATGTCTCGAAATTTTTCCTCTTTTTTTGAAGGTTCTGGTTCGTTGACCTTTCATTTCCAAGTCAAGTTCTATCCTCCCAATCCGGAGTATTCAATCGATGATCCGAAAACTCGCTACCAGCTATGTCTACAGTTACGTCAACACCTGGTCACAGGCAGGTAAAATACTCGCTTAAAGCACGCATGCATGCTTTTTACAATTGTTTGAGACTTCCTTCGACAAGTTGATCTTGTTTCTCACGTTTTTTCACTTTTGCGGATCACAAACGACGGTCGGGGTTAGTTACTAGCACGCCGAAAGCTTTTTTGTTCCTAGCACGTGTTCCTTGTCTGTCGACTTGAAGGAGCCAATTCAGGTCTTCAGCATCACATTGAGCTTGAAAAACGAGTCAATGGGAGTTCGCAGGACCGAGGGGCTCGAGATAGCTCAGTGATTACGGCACCAGCTTATGGACCGGAAAGTTCGTGGTTCGAACCCAATCCCAGCATCTCTACTGCTGTCTAGGCTTGGGCAACTTGACAGAATCCGAGCCTTCGTGTCTTCTTTCGTTGACATGACAGCTAGGCACCGAAAGGCTGCTACAGCTGAACCATTTGATTTGATTTGATCAGTATAGTGATTTGCAGCATGTAAGATGGTAGCGCCAGCGTACGAAATTTCTGCGCTTTTGGAGAGTTGGCTGTCTAGACAGCTTACTTAGACCAGTCTCTAATGCGGTCCAGCTCACGGGAACAGTTGAGCTGCGTCCAGTACGACCTTTCACGATTGAATGTGTGCCTATACTTGGTTACTCTATTGGAGTTTTGTCTTCTGATCGGGTGTACATTATCCACACATTTGATGCCTTGACGGTTCCGCGAAGTGTTGGGAGTCTTTATCATCTCTGATTCTTTTTTGAGGAAGTATCTGAGATCTCCGCTTAGGAGGCACTGATTAGTAGGCCATTGGAATGGAGCTTGGGTCCCTCCGTCTGTCACCGAGTGCCCGCTTATTTCATGCATTCTTCACTTGTAAGCCAACCATCTTGGGTCTTTTTCATCCGCACGTTTACGGATGCTTCTCAAACCAGCTGAAGCCATTGTAATCGTTGAATATCAGGAAAAATCGGTTACTTCATACCATGTAGGTACCCTTAGCCCTGGTCGACTTCGAACTGTCATCTGTACAATATTTTTTGGAAATTTTTCCAAACAACAGCTATCCCAAGGAGACGTTTTCAATCGAAGGAAAGTGGTAGCATGGTCCTGTCGGGGTACTCTGATGAGACAGAGGACGAAATACCCCCTATCACTAATGGGAATCGGTATGAGCATCTCTGTTACTCCTCATCTCTCAGTATCTAGCTTCTGTTTCTTATGCTTATTTTGCCTCCATAATAATCCAGCTACGGTTCGGGGTGTACGTTAAGTATTGTGATATTGTCTGTACGCAAATATTGTTCTTCTGTTGACTATCGCATAAACGTATGTTACTGCGGTTCTGCACGTGATTGTTTTGTAAATGCGGGAGGTCACAGAACTTAAGAAGAAGGTTTGTTGTCATCCAAAACAAACTGGTGTTTGTTGGAAAGTGGATTCTATAGTATCTGTTTGTCACTTTGCAGAGATTTTGACTACTTAGACATTCTCAACTATCATGCTGCGCTCCGTGCTTTTCCAGTTTATGAATACAGAAACCTGAGGACGCCATTCCTTTCGGACTCTAACTAACAGCCTTCCTTCCTCACTTCAACTTCTTAGACTGAATTGCTCATTCTTCACCCACGTTCTACTCGGAGGTCTCATTTCGCAAATGGTCCTCGGTGATGCTCATCCACGTCATTCTCTGTGCCTAGATGAACGGGACTCAGTCATATCCACACAAAGCTCTAGGGGTGTCCACATAATCAACGGGCAAAGACTATCTGAGACTCGCAGCCTGTTATCCGGACGAACCTGCAGTTTGGCCACTCCGGAATCCACTGACAACGATGAAGTAGATTCGGAGATTTGGAGCCCCCGTCAAGAACCACAAAAATGTTTCGATCGGATGGGAGTAAGGCGCAGTTCCTCTGTTCGTTCAGACCCGATGCCAACCCGCCAAACATATCTGAACATATTGCCGCACTTGAATCGACGCAGCCAGTCGGTGAGTCAACAACGCATCAATTTCGCTAACGGGGACATCAACACCACTACCACAGATGCAGAATCCGGTGGCCTGCATCAAAGTTGGACTAATTTGAATTGGCCTTATCCCGCACCATCAGCCCTACATTCTTTGGCTACTCTGAAGCACATATCTCAATTTCATGGAAAGTTGCAGTAAGTTGTAATGTTTTTTTTTCAGAATGACTTCTCTCTTGTGATAGGGGGCTGCCTGTCTGGGTGCTTCACCGACAGAGAAGTTCTGGAACCTAAAGCGGATAGTTGGACCGTCTAGTATCATAATATTGCATTCTGACAAGAATGATCCATGGCATGGCTAGTAACCCTCCGGCTGGTTATTTAGCAGAGGTTCTTAGTGGGAATTCTACCGCTGGGTTCTCTTCTGTCTTGATCATCCTGGTTTGTCTGAATCGTTCGAAGCCTGTGTTTTGAAAACTCATCATCCTGGACGAGTCTTTCTTCAACCTGCGAGACTCCGAGCTTTCAACTAATGGTGGTACATGTGACAACTGGTTGATACGTCTCTTACTTGTTACTCACATGAGTGTTTTACAGAGGATGGGTGGATTTAAAGTTATACCCCCCGGGAAAAGGACAGTCATCAAGTGAGTGAAAACACAAATGAAATACTTAATCTAGGCAACCAAATAAGTGGCGCTTATTTGGATATCACGGACCAGATAAACGTTGGTCTCAGGAGACTGAACATAATACTAATTTGCGGGCAATCCATGAAACCACGTCTACCGGATGGGCCATATGAAGGACAAAATTGGCAGTGGACTTTTGAAAATGTTTCAACAACGCCATAAGTTAGGCTGGGTTACGATGGAAAAATGTGGTTTCGTTTGGTGGAGAGGTCCGGTGTCCAAACGGTTGAAGAAATGTGACGGATAAGCCGATTTTAGTGAATTCTTTGGTATATTGGTTACGAATAGACAGAGAGTAATTTCTTCCTGCTTTGAGAAACGGTTCCAGTGTTTCTCACCAATGAAGGAAAGCTAACAACTATTGTTTGAATAGTATCCAGAATTAAAAAAAGCAGTGAACGAGTACAACCTCACGGGTGACAGCATAGCTTTATAATGGGGCCAAAGAAGAAGTGAACTTAGTACTTAATGGTCCTCCATCACCCCAATTGTAAAAGGATCTAACAACCGTTCCCATGGAGGTTTATCAGTGGCTGCTCAAACGCGCATCCTGAACAGTGTTCGGTTTTGATGGCACTGAACACTACCACCTGATAAGGATGTCAAAGAGATGGCTTTACGAACAGTCGAGCAGTAGCCTCTCCATAACTTCAAAGTTCTGAAAGTTCACAGTCAGTGGTGTGTGTCTCCGTCTTCTCCAATAAGTGATATCTCTTCAGATAGGAAAGGGTTTTTTCCCTTATAAGTAAAACTGTCTTGCTCCCCATCTTTCACCCTATCAGGCTAAATGCGGCCATTACAGTAGAATGTTACCAATAACATCATCTACCAAGCTGACTTGACTCTCTTGATATGAAGCCATCCATCCTAAAACTCATTCTGGCTTGCTTGCAGCTCCTTTTTGCTCGACTCATCCTGGTAAAAGGTTTTCAGCAGCATCCTTTTAGTCCCCACTCTTCATGCTCCTTAGGTTCGGTTGTTGGGCTGTACCGTGTTTGCCCAGCCCCATCAAGTGCTTCATTGTTGTTAAATCTTCCTCGCTGGTAGACTACACCCCCACTGGGCTTATTATAGGCCACCCCTCTAGAAGCTTAGGTGTTTGCATGATTGCGTAATTTGCAAACTGAAAACCTATGGCTCTGCTCCGACATCTTCCCTTCAGTTGATCATCTTGTTGAAAGATGTTGACTCTAGGACCACCAATCAGGTCCAGTAATCATCCAGCCCTGGTGTACTTCACTTCAGAAAGACTGTGAGTTGGAATACCACGGATTGTCCAAGGCATGAGTGGGGCTATTAGTTCACAGGTTATAATAGTCCCGATATAATTCAGGTGTATATACTAATAACAGTTTTTACTATGGTAGGTAGTAGTTTACAGTCACTAGTTGCACCATGATAAAATAAATGCAGTGCGAACAATGGTATAAGTCAAAAGGAGACTTATCGTCTGCGGACAACTCGTGATAGTTCGTGGGTGAATGTCCGGACGAGGGACGTGTTTTCCCCGCAGTATAGCTGCTACATGTGTTCCGTGGACTTGTGCAGTTTGGTTTAATTCCTGCTCCCTGCGCATATGGGTATGTGTGAGGTGTTTTGTCTTCCTATACATACTATGGTTTGAGGTGCGTACAATACATAGTATCGTTCTGACGCGTACAGGACGGGACCTGACTTGCTGTCGGTCTAAGTGATTTGTGTGTTTACGGAGAAGACGAGTCGCGTGGTCGAGTGAGCACGGACGCACCAGACAAATTAAGCGAAGTTGGTTGAAGGAACAAAGAAGCCACTGCTAGAGGGGTACCATGGAGGTATCAATATTGGATCCTAACTATCATTCTACATGGCCGAAGTTCGTGTTTTCGCCACCTTCAGCTGTTGTAGTATCTGCACGGACGTATACCTTTTGTATGCGTAATTCCGATTAGTGTCTTACACATGTCCGTCCAGATGCAGGCTTGTTTAATGGGAATAAGCTGACAGACGGACTCCGGAGAATGGTACCCTTATTTAAGAAATAGGTCATGGACTTTGTTCATAAGTGTTTTCCAATAAGCTTCAGATGCCCAAGTCCCTCTTATTCCGTTCGTCTATAAAACTTGCAGCAGCACTTCAAACTTGACTCGTCCCTCATGTCACGCTCCTTGTATCTTGAGTTGTAGTCTGTATACCATGCTTTTTAGTTACCCGTTATGTCACATGCACTCTGCAGATCTACAGGTTCCTTATTTCGGCCAAGCACTGTCAGTTTTCTGATGCGGTTTTGATTACAAACAACACCGAACTCCATCGAAAGAAAACATGGTAAAAGTACACTTCTCAGTTGCTGTCAGATTCAGTTCCGATAACTGTGCTGTCGATTCTACTGTCTTGTTGAGTCTGAGGCACACTAGTACAGAGATGTGGTTGTGTGCTCTGTTATTCCCACTCGAGCGCATCGGCCATAGGATCTTCGGCCTTTCCAGGGTTGTTGCCTCTCCTTGGACGGGCCCTATTAGAGGGCTTCACTGCCCTCCGTCATAAGTGATGTTTCAGCCGCGTTCCCTCTTGGCCAACTCTTCTTTTATGGAGGATGGGCAGTTTAGCTGTTTAACTGGGGATATATATATATATATATATATACT